TGGCTCGGTGCCCAGCCCCTGGACCTGGGAGGCCAGCAGTGGAGTCCTGGTTTCCATAGTAACTTGGACTAGTTGCTGAGTCTTTCTGTGACTCAGTTTCTTAATTTGTAAAGTGAAGGAGGATTGCATCTTCAGGGATTAGATGAATTTTAATGTTTCTTATGGGCCTTAGATGAGTTAGTACATATAAAACCTTCGGGTGGGGAACGGTGCATAGTAGGCTCCAATAAATGTTAGCTATTATGAGTATGGTGGGTCATCAAAACTTAAAGGTTCAGCTTTTTCTAAACTTTTAAATAGTGTTGCACAACTCATAAATTCTTACCTCTTCTTCTGTTTCTGTTATTCTTCTGATATTAATAGTGGAAATTTGCACAGTTTTTCTCTCATAACAATTCATCAGCAGTGTTTATGACCTAGATCCCTTATTGGCTGTGAAACCAGCTCTGCCCAAAATGCAGAGAGTGAGCTCTACTCAAGGTTCTTAATGGGTGTTTCTAATAGAAGAGTTGAGTGGTTATCCAGACAACAACGGAATTAATATATGAATACATTTACTTGGAGCTGCTCTTGGTGTCTTTAAAATATTATTATACGTACATATTCATTCAACAAATATTTGTGGTCCACCTATGAAGTGTCAAGAAAAGTGCCCGGTGCTGGGACTCCAGAGCCAGGTATAGGAAGGCTCAAGTGCATGGTCAGGTGCAAGTGTGTGGCTCTTGGTGACAAGAAGTCTTGAATTCAAGTCCTGTGTTCCCCAGCTGCCTGATTTTGCCAGGTATTTATTCCCTCAGTCTTAACATAAGCTGGAAGAATTGTTGTTGTGAGTCGTAAAAAGCATCTAGTATAGGAATTGGTATACAAAGGAAGCCCTTAATTAACTCTTACAGTCTCCCTGCCCTCAGGAGGTCTCTGTTTGCATTATTATTATTCAGACCAGCCCTTGTTCTCTCTGACTGGCTGGGGAGCCGATGCAGGGGGGTAGCATGGTAAGTGAAATGACAGGAGGAACAAGCATCGGTGTAGGAGGACTGGGAGTTAAGTTCACTTAACTAAACACTAATTGAGCACAATATCAGCTACATTTGTGCTGCAAGAATCTGATAGAGGCTCAGCACCTGATGAAGGTTCAAGCCTGTAAGATCAGCTTGTAGGCATATTCTTACAGTGCTGCCTCGTACTAACTCTACACAGTAGGCGCTATTACTGTCCCCATTTTGCAGGTGGGAACACTGAGGCACTGAAAGGTGAACCTAACTTGCCTGAGGTCACAGAACGAAGAAACCAGGATTCAGACCCAGGCACTCCAGCATCGGAGCCTGCATTTGGGACCACTCAGTACCCTTCTGCCTTCTGCCTTCTCCTCCAAACTTCATTTTACAGCCAGTAGAAACTGTCTCTAAGGGTTCTTGAGAAAGTTACTCACACCCAGGAAAATTCAGGGAAAGGTCAAGTAGAAGAAAAGTAATAGATCTGGAAGAAAATATGGCCCAGCCACTTCTTTTCTCCAGGCTGAACCTACAAAACACCAGACCAGGGGCGCCTGGGGTGGCTCAGTGGGTTAAGCTTCTGCCTTCCACTCAGGTCATGATCGCGGGGTCCAGGGATTGAGCCCTGCGTGGGGCTCAGTAGGCGGAGCTTGTCCCTCTCTCTCTGCCCCTCCCCCCCCGCTTGTGCGCGCGCTCTTTTTCTCACTCTCTCTCTCTCAAATAAATAAAATCTTTAAAAAAAAAAAAAAAAGGAAAAAAGAATCACCAGACCAATCAGGCTCCTTCCTTTCTTTGCTGGGTTTCCAAAGTGCTCCAGCCAAGCTCCTCTCTTGTGGGCTGTGCAGTTTAGAGCATTCTATAGCTTTTTTAAAAGCATCACATTTTAAATCGGCTTCACCTTCTTTTTCTGAGAGGCATTCGCTGCACTGTTTCTCCTGTTCTCTGTTCTCTGCTGAAAGCCCATGTGGACCCGCAGGTGCCTGGCTTGTGCTGCCTTACCGGCACTTGCCACTAGAGGGCCCTGCCCCTAAGATTCCAATTTCAATGCACCTTCGTAAAAAGGGGCCCATCTTAGTGTGATACATGAGATCACACCCATTTTACAGAAGGAGAATCTGAGAACCAAGCCCTTAGGGATGGGGTGAGTAGCTTATATCTTCATAAATCAGAAGAGTCAGAGAAAAGAAAGTGAGAGACAGGAGCTCAGTGGTCCCAAATCCCAAAGGCCACATGAAGAATTCCTGGGTACTAGTTCCTTCCCAGGCTTGTCTTGCCTCTCCTTCTAGTCCTCTCCCCTACTTGCCACTGGGGCTGTAGGACACTAGCAATTTCACTGGGTGAACGCACCAGGGAGAAGCAAGGACAGTTTAGAGAAGGACCATGTTCAGGAGCGGTCCCTCAGCTCACACAAAGGCGAGGCATGCTTTTATTTTAGGGGAAATCCAGCCTGTTCAGTGTCCCCTTTGGAACTTCTCCATCCTTATGACAAGTCTCCTTATTTCTTCCTTCCCTCCCTGGAGTGACTGCCTTTCACTCACACCTGGTTCATGGCTTCAGGTGACGTCTTCGCTGGTCTAACTCTGAGAGTCGTTTCCCTCCAAAATGTCCTTACTCTGACGTCTGCATTCTGACGTTTAACACTTCCCATAATTGGATTCCACTATGCTTGTTGGCTTCTATCAATACTTGCAACGTGTACTTTCTATTTGAGCTGGCTGGTCATTTTCAATTCTATTCAATAGCATTTATTGCTCACAGGCAGGGTACAAGGCAAAACGTTGGCTGGTGGTGGATGTACAGGGGACTAAAACTCTCATTGCTCGTGATCACTCTCCGTGGTCATGAAGTCATGGATCTTGCCCTTCAGTATGTACAGTGTGGAGGGAAACAAATAATGATCTATACCGTGAAGCAGAAAAAAATGAGTTGCAGTGATATAAGGACCAAGGGGGGGGGGAAGAGGGTAAAAAGAGCCATAATTAATTTGACCAGTGATGCCAGGGAGAGCTTCACAGAAGAGGTGACATTTGAGCTGAGCGTTGATGTGTGTGGAAAGGGCTGGGGGTTGGGGGGCACACCAAAGCAGAGGCACTCTGCCATCATAGGCAAGGGACTGTGAACGTGCTCAGTGCATCTGGGGTGGTGCCCAAAACACATCATGCCGACTCAGCCTCTGCTTCTTTCTTGTGCTTTCCTTAGTTGGATGCCATCTGTCTTCTCCATTCTCAGCCAGATCCTACCCTTGCTCCAGAGCCCAGCTTCAGCTCCACCTCCTTCATGAAGCCTTCCCTGACTGTACTAGCTCCTGCCACTCCCCAAAACGTGTAATTCAGCATTTAACTATAGTGTCCGTGCTTGCCTTGCACAGGGCAGCTAGACCAGGGCAGACATTACGCTCATCTGATACTTTGGGGGTCTTGCATCCCCCAACACAGTGCTAATGGTGGTCAGGGCTAGATGGTTCAATGGAACCATTCACTGAGACTAATGCCTTCCTTCTGCCTAAATGCAGCTCACTTCTGCTGCCCAGCCTGGGATTGTTCATGGGGATTTAGGATTTAGCTGGTTATGGGTGCTCACACATAAGGGAAACGATTCTTCACACAATCACTTGAATGTTCTGCTCAGCCATGGGTGATTCCTTCTCAGCACTGGTGGCGGGGGCTCAGGGGCATCGAACCAAAGCATGAAGCAGTGACTGTCTGGACTGAACCTTAGTAACAGAGGTGGGGTGAAGCCAGTTTCATCATCTACACCATCATCTGCCAAGTTCCCTCTGAAGAATGACCTGCTTCTTTTAAGGTCTCCTGTTTCGATGGTTGGGTTGTACTCAGCTCCCCTAAAGTGTCAGAAATATAGCTGGTCAAGTCCTTTTGGTGAATGGGGTACTGAGTACGGTCTCTTCTTCTTGCGAGGCTGCTTGGAATAGGTATTAGTCTGGTTCTTCAGAGAAATGGAACCAACAGGAAACAGATATAACAAGGAGCTGGCTTGTGCGCTTATGAAGACTGAGAAATCCCAAGGTCTGCAGCTGGACCGCTGATGGTGTAGTTCTCCAGCATAAGTCCAAAGGCCTGAGAACCAGGAGAGCTGATGGTGTAAGTTCCAGTCCAAGTCCAAGTCCTAAGGCAGGAGGACTGATATCCCAGCTCTAAGATGGCCAGGCAGAGAGAATTAATTCTCCCTTATTCTGTCTTCTTCCATTCAGGCTCTCGATGGATCTGGTGATATGCACCCGTACTGGAGTGGGGATTAATCTGCTTTACTCAATCTACCAATCCGAATGTTAATGTCATCCAGAAATGCCCTCATAGATTCCCCCCAGAATCGTGTTTAACCAAATGTCTGGGCACCCCATGAATGGCCCAGTCAAGTTGAAAGCTTGGCCAGAAAGAAAATCTTATGAGGCTTCCGAAGTAGAGCCTGAAGAAAAACGCTGCAGCTGTCTAGTCCCTACAGAAGGAGCATTTTCCAACCCTCCGTCTGGAGAGTGTGTCTGCGCAGCCGAGAGCCACACTTCCCATGGCTTCCCGTGCGACACCATCATGTATGGGCGGGCCGGGCCAGCCAGCCGCCCCTGCACAAAGGTTCCTGGACAAAGGGGCACATAGAGGCTGAAATGCAGCCCACACTCTACTCATCAAGCCACGTGCTTGGGAGGGGCTGCATCTGCCTCGGGGGAAGGGTGCTTTTGCCTAATTTGTCTCAGGTGCTGTGTGGACTGTGGAGGCCATGCCCCAGGGCTCCCCACAGACATTGAGTATGATCAGAGCATCCTAGGTGGTGTGCCATGGCCTGGTACAGGTGTGCAAAATACCAATCCTGTCTACATAGGGGGTTGCTGGGAAGGCTCATCACCTCTGGTCACAAAAAAGTCACAGATTGGGGCGTGATGGTTTGCAATCTCCAGGTGAGACGTACGCAGAGAAAGTCTGGGTCCGGGGCATCTGTCTGGGTATCGATGGTTGTTGAAGCTCAGTGTCCACAGGGAGAATGCTGGCCATGAGCCTAGATCACATTTTCATAGGTTGAAATCCCAGGAGGTTTGCCGTCCTGAGAGCTGGTTTTCCCCATCTGTGCACAAGAGGGAGTTGGAACTGCAGGTTAACTGAGAGATGCTGCTGGGGAAGCCCGGCCCTGGGTGGTGCCTGGGACAGACAGACGGCACAGGGAGATGCCTCAGGCCTCCCTGGTGCTGGCGGAATCTGGGGCAACAGGGCCTTGCCCTTTGCTGGGTCCCTTGCCTCTGCTCTGGTCACCCGCTTGCAAGGCCTTGGGTCATCAACTGCAGAGCCCAGAAAAAAGCAGCAGGAAGGAATGGGGGTATTAGCATTGATTTTGATTATAGGCTTGGGCAACATCCAGGCTCAAGCTACCTGCCTTCCTTGTTCCTAGCTGAGCCTCAGCTCCTTCCGAAGCCCCATAACTGCACTTCACATACTGGCGAGCTGCCTTCACTGGCGTCCCGTGCTCTAGTTATGTGGACAGACCTAGAGCCCTCCCCACACCCTGCTCCCAAATAAAGTGGACCCAACAGGATAGGAAAAACAATTCTTCTTAAATTATATAATGACCAATCAATAATCGCCATTGGCCTTGTCTAGAGGATGCGCTTTGAGATGCCTCAACCTGGCCGCCCTGATTAATCCCTCTGATCCAGTCCTTGCCAGTGTCACCTCCCGTGTCCTCCCCTGTCCTTCAGATCTCGGCTCATGCATGCGTCCCCCTGCCCCTCACTTCTTCCTTCCCCTTCCCCTTGTCCTTCATCCCTCCGTTGCCCCTTCATCTCCTTCTCCTTCCTTCCCTCTCCTGAGCACTAAGGGAGTGAAGGCCCTTCCTTCTCGGGCTCCAGGACACTGGCTTAGCTTCACACCCCAACGACCTGTGCATTGAGTTCTCCTGCAAGTCTCCTGCATCTGCAGCTCACAGATGCCCTCTACCGAATCAGCTTTTACTTCTCATTTCCCATCCATCTGCAGCTAATTTCCTAATGTTTCCTCCCACTCGTTATTTGTTCTCACGACTTTCCCTTCCCCCTAGACTCCCTGGGTTCCTATTTATCTTTCATGATGATTTTGCCCAGCTATTAAACAGGAACACTGGCAAAACATTTGATTTGCCAAGAGACCCCAAAGCTGGCTTTCTGACTGTAGCAGAAATGAGGATCCTCATGGACAGTGACATAGACCTTCCGTCTATGCATATTCCAGAGCAGGACCCTGAGGCACAGGGTACTGTGAGTGTCGCTGCTCCATTGCAAATTGTTGTGCAGGCTGCACCCTGTACAAGCCAGCTGGTGGAGGAAACGGGAACTGAAATTCAGCCTGTGTTCTACTTGTCGGTCTGGGCACCTGGTGTGGGCCTGTTTCTGTCCAGAGGGGGGCACCTGTTGTCTAGTTTTATTCTGTGAGCCGGCATGGCCCCAGCTGCTCTAGAGGCTGGAGTTTCCACACAGCAGGTCAGAGGCCTGGGGGCTCCTGCATTTAGAGGCAGGCCCAGCATCTCAAGCAGGCCAGCTTTTGGATGGCCATGGACCTGGGAGCCGGGCTCTGTGCAGGTGTGAAACACCCATGGGCCACGGCCCTCAGCAGTCCCTGAGAGGGACAGAGGAGAGCACCAAGGGAACCATCTGGCCCCTGCTTGGATGCACAGGGTACAGCAGAATGGCTGGAACACTCAGGCAACAGGGATAAGAAGTCAGAAAGGATTTACCTTATCAGTCTGCAATGTGGAATAAACCTTGTTCACCGGCTCCTCCTTGGCAGGGAGCTCCTGTAAAACACCCATCTTCCCCTCAGTGAAGAGCCCAGGCAAAACCTCGCCAAGCCCCCTTCCCTCCTCTGCCCAGCCTGCTGCCCCCCTGCTCCCACTCCCACCAGGTAGCCTCCCCTCCCGGCCTCAGCTCTGGTTCCATCCAGCCTCGGAGAGGGTCAGGGCCGGGTATGGGGCGGGAGGAGTGGGTAGCTGTTGGGTAAAACCCTCAGGAGCCAAGAGGAGGGGTTTGCATGGTTCAGACTGGGTCTTGCTCACTGAAGATTTTGGCTCTGGGCACCTAGCCTCCCATCAGTCCAAGCACAGTGCTAGACGGACCAGGCAGACCTCTGTTGCCCAGCACTCTTGTCGACCTCGGGGGAGCATGCGGGCAGGGGGGCGCAGAGGGAGGCGGTGCTTGTGGAAGCCTGGTTCAGGGTGGAGGTGAGGGCAGGGCAGGCAGGTGAAAGGCAGGTGGGAGGAGGGGGTGTGCCGCCGCCACTCCAGGAAGTTCAAGGGGACCTCTCTTGGGGTGGCTCAGTCGGTTAAGCGTCTGCCTTCGGCTCAGGTCATGATCCCAGGGTCCTGGGATTGAGTCCCATCTGGGGTTTCTCTGCTTCTCCCTCTCCCTCTCCCCTTGCTCGTGCTCTCTCTTTCACTCAAATAAAGAAATAAAATCTTTTAAAAAGGGGGGACCTCTCTCGATTCTGTGCCCTTGGAGGCCCCTCAGCCTTCTGTTCCCGTGTCGGTGGCCACCTAGCAGCCCTCCCCTTACACCAGGGGCTCCCTTGTTGTTTGTCCCTCGTGGAGGGCACTCCACTCCTAGTCAGGCCTCTCACCTCACCCAGAGCCAGACCCCCGTGTGGAAGCTGGTGGCCTCCACCCCTAGAGGCTGCCACGGGGTGACCATCGGCCATGTTCCTGTCTCGTCGGGGGGCTCACAGCATCATTTCCCTGACATGACGATGCTTGGTTGGACCTTCCAGATCCCTGGCCTGCTGCCCCAACTCCCTTTCCTGGGGCTGGTGGTGAGGACCCATGAGTGGCATCAGCTCACCTTGGATTGAGGGATTTCATCGTAGATTCTGCCCTCTGCTGGCGGGGCATCTCTTGTAACCATGACGTAGGTGTATATTGTTTTCTTTGAGATGGCATCTGTCACAAAGAAACACAGAAGCACAGTGCGTGAGAGGCAGAGAGATTTTAGAGATGACCTCTTCTAAGGTTCTCTTTTTAAGGTAAAGAAATGAAGCCCTAAAAGGTCAAATGGCTATCATCATCTTGAGATGGATGCTCGGGTCCTGGGACTGCCTCTCCCTCTTGGGATTTCATGTGGTGTGGGAGCCCGGAGAGGCAGAGCCCGGAGAGACAAGTCCCTGCTCCTAAGAGTTCCTGGGGTGCTAAAGGCATCCTTCCCAGTGTGTTCCTCTCCTTGCTCCTAATGTGGGACATTTTAGGGTGAAGTCGAAAAGAGATGGCTAGAATTTGGGGTCTTCATGTTTCAGGGCACCAACATATCCACAAATCACAGTAAGCTAAGCGGCACACAGAGTTAAATCCTGTCCCAGACCCTGTCCCAGACCAGGCAGGCAAGCCAGACCGACCCAGACCCTGCCTGAGACCCAGCAGGCAAGCCAGACCGAGTGCTCTCTATCATCTCGTTGATAGATGGAAAAAGTAGCACTTCTTCCTTCCCAAGAGACTGTGAGGGACTGAAGACAGATGTCTCTTGGAGGAACCCTGAAGATCCCCTATGGCCTGAGTCAGGTTATGGGACTTCTCCCCGTCACAATGCCATTTGAGTTAAATTCTCTGGGGAAGAGAATTTAACTCCTCCTGTGCCAAGCCTGTGCCATCAGTCGCAAGCACAGTGCTGACGTTTACTGAGTCCTTACTCTGTACCAGGCTCCAGGCCAAGTACTTTATGTGGGTAATTCCGTTTAATCCCCTTAATAAATATGTGCAGCGCATCCTGTATGTCTGGTTTACCACTGACAAAATAGGCTTACGGTGACAGATCCCTTGTAACTGATAAATAGCCGAGCTGGGACCTTCGGCCTAGACTGCCTGCAAGGCACAGGCTGAGTCTTAACCAATCTGCCGTGAACTCAACTCTCCCAGTTGTCATCCGGGAAAACTGGTGGCTGAGAACTTACCAGAGTTCTTACTGAAGGGCTTCAAGAAGGAACCTGAGGAATCAGACCCAAAGGAGAGTCAGGAACATGGAAACAGAAGTTTAGCCCCTCTATACCCAGGCTTGTTACTGTGGTTGGTGGGAAAGGAAGATCTGGGGAGATCATGGGGCTAGGAGGTATAGGAGGGCACAGTGCTCCTCTGGGGGCCTAAGATTAGGTTTTCTGCTTTGCAGATGGCACAATTACAGAAGGATCCAGAGGGATCCAGAGGGATCTAGTGATGCGCATGGAATGCAAAGTTAGTACATGTCCCTCTGTGACTCTCCAAAGGTCATAGTCAAAATATGATGGAATTGGAAGTGACCCAGGAGACCCTCTAGTTCAAATCTCATTTCACATGTGAGAGCACTGAGCCAGAGAGGGAAACACACATGTCCAGTGAAGCACAGCTTCTCAACGGCAGTACTGAACTCACACCCAGGTTCTGGGCCCACCAGACACTGATGACAACAGGAACAGATTCTGGAGCCCACTCAGGGCGCTGTCATCCAGGGGCCAGCACTCTGGAGATGTTGAGGTGGAGGAGGGGGATTGGAAGAAGAAGGATTCCCCGGAACAAAGGACCGCTCTGCCCCACCTTGGATAAATGACTTCAGTCCCAGGAAGAAGGAAGGTACATTTCCACATTTTACCTTCTGGAAAAATCCTACCTTGTCCTCTTTTGCACAAAAGGAACAAAAGTACCGAAGGCACAATGAGTATAAAGAGAAGGAGCACCGCCAGCCCGCTCAGCAGCCCGGTGCGGCGAGAATGGAGGCCTGCCGCAGTGTCTGCAAACAGAAGAGACAACGGGGCTTGGCCACATTCAGGGGCACTATCAAAACGGGGTGCCCTCCAGGGGAGTGCCAAATCTCCAAGGGAAACTGGGCTTTCTGCTATTCAAAGTCAGCATTGGAAACAGAATCAGAGGGCCAAGCAGGGCCTGCCTCAGAACACCCCAGAAGCATGGCCTATCTCAGAAAGCTCTGGCCTTTTTTCCATGCCCTCCTGGGAGGAGATGCCCCTGGGGACCAGGCCTGGCCTCCCCCCGCCGCCCCATGGGGAACAGGGCCCAGCTCGGGCCGCTCTTCTGAGTGAGTCCTGGAGACTGCAGGAGAGACGGATGGAGCTGGTCACCTGCACAGAGCTGCTGGGCAGAGATGGAGTCTGAGCTGTTGCTGACGGGGTTCCAGGCTGTGCACGTGTAAGTCAGCTCTTGGTTGTCGGGGGTCCGGAAGATTCGAATTACATTCCCCGCTTCCCCCAGGGGGCTCCAACTATATGTGACATTCTCTTCTTCTTTCTCCACAGAGCATGTCAAGGTGACATTACAGGTGCTGTTCATAGATGTCATTAAACTCTGCGTAATTTTTGGCTTTCCAAGCCGACCTAAGAGGGGGAAGACACATGTGTCAGTGGTAAGCTGGAGTTAGCCTATACCAGGAGAGCCAACTGTTAAATTTACAGAAATTATTCATGAAAAATGAAATTATAAAAACTTACAAGAAAATAAAAAAATTAAATTAATTATATTTTAAAAAGCTAATATATGCTCAACATTCACCACTTTCTATTTTTTGGGGGGGAGCCAATTTACTCTTATCTACATTCTAAAAGTTATTTACATCTATAGTATCTGTCTTTTGTAATGATATACAAAGTCTTCCCAATTCTGCAAGTTTTAAAACACAGAGGGAGTATTTACCCCACAGAAATTGACAAATAATGGGGCACCGAGGTGGCTCCATTGGTTAAGCCTCCAATTCTTGATTTCGGCTCAGGACATGATCTCAGGGTCATGAGATCAAGCCTCGCATGAGGCTCCATGGATTCCCTCCCTCTCCCTCTCTCTCCCTTTACTCCCAACCCCAAAAAAACAGATTGGCAAATGCTCAAACTTGGGCTGGGTTGACTGCTCAGTGGAGTTTCACTCTAGACTGAAGAAAACAATGGAAGAAAGATGGCTAAGGTCGATTAAACCTAAAAGTGCCTCCTGTCTGTAGACATTACATTGTGAATAGCACCAAAAAACTAGGAAATATTCTTCCAGTATTTGAAAACCGTTATCCAACTCAGCAAAGAGGTCTCTCTTGTTAATGTGCAAGCGAAGCTCTGAAATATTTGTTTATTGAATTACTTTTTCCTTATTAGCTCACTTCATGAAACTATCAGCCAGCATTCTTGTTGGCTTCTTCGTCAGGGACACTGTATGCTGGGAGGTATGAACGTTCAGCAAAACTCAATGAAAGCGTTCTGTGCATACAACTGGCTCTATGCAATGCACGATAAAGACCAGTGTATATTTTATTACCTTTTATGAAATCGTGCCGCACGCCCTTTGTATCACACACAGCATCAAGAACCAGCACACCATTGCATGAAACAGTCTTTATTTTTTTTAAAGATTTTATTTATTTATTTGAGAGAGAGAATGAGAGAGAGAGAGAGCATGAGAGGGGGGAGGGTCAGAGGGAGAAGCAGACTCCCCTCTGAGCAGGGAGCCCGATGTGGGACTCGATCCTGGGACTCCAGGATCATGACCTGAGCCGAAGGCAGTTGCTTAACCAACTGAGCCACCCAGGCGCCCTGAAACAGTCTTAAAAAAATTTTTTTTTGGCTGTTTTCTGGTGTGTTTTCATTGAGTTGTTTTGTGTTGTTCTAAAGTGCCCTTGGTGAAAAGTTAAAATCTCTTTAAAAGTTCATTTAAAAAAATATTTTTACTAAAACAATCAAAAGGTAAACTGTCCAAGTTGTAGGCTAGTAAAGGGTTACAGAAGAACAATTATATTTAGGTTGAAGTAAGAGCTATCTGGGGCCGGCAGAAGGAAAGGGAAGATCTTCCCTTTACCAGCAGATAAGAAAATGCCCATATTCTGAGTTGGTAAATTTAGTTCATTCTTGGCCAGGCTGCTGTGCTAGGCTTTGTTCCTTCTCCCCTAGCCATGTGGGAAGGATTCAGAAGGAACCAGCATGTGACTTTCTGGTTCATGTGGTATTTTTAAAGTTGTCTGTGCCTGTGAGGAAGTAGAATATGGTAAAGAGGAAGCTGTAAATAGTTCTCATTCCAACTGCACCAGAAACCCTGGTCTTGTGAGTCTCTTCAAGGGATCTATTCCAGACCAGATTTAGTGATGACTTGTGAAAAACTCCCAGAGAAGTTTGGAGGGACCCTGATGAGCTATAACAGTGATCCATACAGATGTATACAGCAAAAAATGAGCGAAAATGTGTGTGTGTGTGTGTGTGTGCGCGCGCACGCACATTTCTTTAGAAACTGGATTTACAAAAATGTCCAACTCTCTGCTTGATATTTACTTATTCTTAGAGAAACTCTTTTTTGCTGGGTGTCGAGGTGGGGAATAGTAGTAAAGAATAGGATCCTATCTCATTGTTCTCAGCAGGAACTGAGACGTTACCTGCATCAGGCTGCTGGGCAGAGAAGGTCGGGGCTGTGGCTGAGAGTGGAGAAGCCACTGGAGACCTGGGTCCGACCAGGCTCTGCTGCTCTCTAGAACGGGGATGCACACAGCTTCACTGAGGTTTAGCTCCATCAGTTATAACACGAGGATAATTTTCTCCTGCTAGGGTTGTTTGTTGTGAGGACTAAATGGGTTATTGTGTTTAAAGAACTCTCTAATGCCCATCTGTCCATCTGTCTTTCTATCATCTATCATCTATCTAGCCACATTAATTATCTATGGGAAAGACAAAACAAGCCAGCAACAGTGACCACTGTTGAGTTGCAATGCACTGTATTGCTTTTACTCTGTGCATGTATTGCCTAAATATGTGTGATCTCTATATATTTTTAAAAAAATTAGGTGGTAGAATGCCAGACACAAAGAGTTCAGTAAATGTCAGTTCCTGTCTCACTATCTTCTCCACTAACTCTCCAAAAGGTATAGATTTTGTTAGGTGGGCAACCCGGCTTTCTCTGAGACTTTCCCATGGTCTGCCCTACCTGCAGATGGTATAACAGTTCCCAGAGACTGAGTGGGTATCACTGAACATATAAAGCGATGAAAACAGGGGCGCCTGGGTGGCTCAGTTGGTGAAGCAACCGACTCTTGATTTCGGCCTCGGTCATGATCTCGGTGTCCTGGGACCGAGTCCCTTGCTGGGGCTCTGCGCTCAGTGGGGAGTCTGCTTCTCTCACTCTCTCCTTCTACCCCTCCCCCTGCTTGCATTCTCTCTCTCTAAAATAAATAAATAAATCTTTAAAAAATGGTTAAAGTGTTAAATGTTGTGTTATGCATATTTTATCACAATAAAAAAATCTTTTAAAGAAAAAAAAGAAAAATGGATTTACCATGTTTTCATTCTTGGGCATTTATCTGGGAGAAGAAAAAGTCATTTCATGCAGAAACTTGTACATGAATGTGCATAGCAGCTTTATTAGTCATAACCCTAAACTGGAAAGAACTAAAATATCCTTTGATGGGTGTATGGTTGAACAGACTAGTCCATCTATACCATGGAATACTATTCAGCCATAAAAAGATATAAACTATTGATACTGGCAATAATTAAGATGACGCTCAAATAAATTATGCTGCATGAAAAAAGCCAATCTCAAAAACATGCATACTGCATGAGTCCATGTATGTGACATTTGTGAAATAACATAATGATAGGTATGAAGAACGGATTAAGGTCTTCTGGGAGTTGGGGAGGGAATGCGTGACTCTGAATGGCTGAGGGAGTCTTGCTGCAATGGTACACTTCAGGATCTTGATCGCGGTGGTGATCACATGAGGGCGCACATGTGAATAAACATGCAAGCTACACATATACTCACACATAAATGAGAGCCCGTACAACTGTTCCTATTCCTGCTTTCCTATAGTTACACAAGATGTAACTTGTGTACAAGGGGGACTGGGCGATGTGCACACAGAACCTCCCTGCACCATTCTTTTTTTTTTTTTTAATTTTATTTATGTATTTGAGAGAGAGAGTGAGAGAGAGAAAGCATGAGCAGGATGATGGGCAGAGGGAGAGGGAGAAGCAGATTCCCCGCTAAGCAAGGAGCTCGATGCGGGATGCCAGACTCGATCCCGGGACTCCAGGATCATGACCTGAGCCGAAGGCAAACGCGTAACCAACTGAGCCACGCAGGTGCCCCTCTCTGCCTTGTTCTTTACACCTCTCTATGCAGCTACACTTATTTTAAAATAAAGAGGTTTTCTTTTCTTTTTTTTTTAAAGATGTGCTTTCCATACACTATCTCACTTGATCTTCTCAGTGACCAAGGGAAGTGAATAATATGATTGATTATTCACATTTTATAGAAAAGAAAAACCAAGTCCATGGGACAACTTGTTGATTGAAGATTACATAGCTAAAACCAAACAATCACATCCTCTTTTTTAGTATTGGTGTATTTATATAAGGATTTATAAGTACAGAAAGATTTAGGGAAACCAATAAAGAAATAAAGGTGTTCTATAGATAGCAAATTTGCAAAACAAAACAAGCCCTTTACCCTCCCACAACTTACGGAAGACCTGAAGCTTGTAGCACCTGGTGGTGGTGATCATCCCGTCAAGGATCTTTGTATTTATGTCGGCTTTGTAGATGCCTGAGTCTTCCATCCTCAAATTACTGATCTCCAGGTTGTAGTTCTTACATGAGACATTTATTCGGTCATTATAATTTTGGTGGGTCACAGTAACTTTGGGTGCTGTTCCTGAGTCTCCTGGTGTTACAAAAGCAACAGATGTTTCAGAGTTCCAAACAATGTTGACAACTTGCTGTGATTTTTTGATATTTAAGGGGAAAGTGACTGACTCCCCCAGAATCCCAATCACCACGAAGACGTCTGTGTCACTTCCTTCTGCTTCCAGACCTGGGGACATAAATGGAAAACCATATAGCCATTTCACTGTTGCACCTTTTAAGGTCTCCTATCTCAACAAGACCCATCGATATGCTGTCTGCAAGAGACTCATTTTAGACCCAAAGACACCCCCACATTGAAAGTGAGGGGGTGGAAAACCATCTACCATGCTAATGGACACCAAAAGAAAGCTGGGGTGGCAATCCTTACATCAGACAAATTAGATTTTAAAACAAAGACTGT